ATGATATCTTTGACATCCTCCCACAACTCGTCTGGTCTTCGGTCATTAGTGTTCAAGGCCTCAAACCTTTTCCTGAGATGATTCTGAAATTCAGGTGGTATGAAATCAAAGTCATATTTTGGCTCCTGTGGATTGAAGGAGGGGTAATTTCCTCCTGTATCAGTCAGATCCAATTTGACGGTACACACACACACACACGCACACACGCACACACACAAAATAGTAAAATAAAATAAAGTAAAAACAAAAGGATAACTAGTAAGATGTGTATAAATGTCCAAAGAGGGAAGAGGTGGGGGTAAGGAGGCTGAGGGTGGAGAAGGAGGGAAATCACAGGGTCACAGAGTTTGGTGGGAGGAGAGAGGTGTGGAGAAATTAGGAAGGATTCAGTGAGAATCTAAAACAGATGGGGTAATAGTGGGCATAGATCTATGGTCATTAAATTTATAAACCACAGTGTAAGGGTATAATCATATGAAACAATGCGAATGAACAAACCAACCAAAATTTAAGAAGTATTAGAAAAATGTCATTAGATGTAAACAGACTTCTGGCCAATTACATTTCTCAAAAAAAACCTTATTGCCATGGAACCAGAACTGATTTACAGCAGACCCTCCAATGGGATTTTCAGAGGCTGTAAATTGCAGATAAGGAGACTGCCCACCTTCTTTCACAGAACTGGTGGGTTCAAGCCACCTGCCTTTGAGTTGTCAGTGCAACTCATGAACGGATAGATATCATGTGGAAGAGTACGGTTTAGATGATATACTTTCACAAAATCTTAAAACGATACTAGCATAATTAGATTATGCTAGTATCATTTTAAGAACCCTTTATACTCCTAACTGAGCAAGGATCTCATTACCTGAGACAGAAGAGGCCTCGTTCCTGACTTCTGGTTGCTTCCAGTCCAGCTGGAGACTCAGCGTGCACACCCTTGAAAACCCGTACTCAGATCTGGGGAGCCAGGCATCGCTCAGTGCAGGCAGGAGTGGAGAGGACCTTTGCTCTGAGCACCCCTCCAAGGAGAGCAAGATGAGTGACGCAGAGATGCAGCGCAGGTGTGCGGCCAGGAGGAGACAGTCAGCAGAGATTGGTCCTGATGGAGGTGAAGGTCTGTTGGGGAAAGAAGATTCATTTGAACTATTTTTTTTAAAAGAAGCTGGGGGTCCTTGAAAGTTGTTGAGCTGAGAAAGGACATGTGTTTGTTTTGACGGCCAGTCTTGCATCTGTTTCCACTTTCAAGAGCAGATTCAAGTGTCTGTGATATTTGGGATCGCTGTTGTTTTCCAGGTTTTATTGAACTTGAAGCTGGCTCTGAGTAGACCCAAACCAAAAGCCACCCTCAGCACCGTCCATAGGATTCTGACTCACACAGGAGCCCTCCGTCAGGTCTCTGAAGCTGTGCATCGTAGTGTGAGGAGACTGGCCGTCTTTCTCCCTGAGAGCTACTCCACCACCGGAGCTCCTGGAGAACAGACTCACTCAGTGCCATCGAGTCAGAATCGACTTATAGGTGACCCTCCAGTGGGTTTTCAGAGGCTGTAAACCACATGGGAGGAGACAGCCCACCTTTTCCCCTTAGAGAAGTCAGTGGAGTCAAACCACCTACTTCTCAGTTGGCAGCACCACTCCTTACCCACTATATGTTCTATATGGGCACATAAAAAAGACAAAGATGGGAGAGTGTGGAAAGAGAGAAGGGAATCAGAGTCTGTCACCAACCTCCCCTGGATGGGTCAGAGCTAGCCTCTGTCTTCTGGAGATCTTACTCCGTGTCCACAGTCTCACAATAGCCTCTTCACTCGGCAAATGCTGAGCATCTTTCATGACATACAGGCCAATGAGGAAGATGCTAATAAAACAGTAGGTTAAGTATTGTTTGTACTGTAAAGTCAGAACCGACCCATAGCTGACCCTCCAGTGGGTTTTCAGAGGCAGTTAATTGCACAGGAGGAGATTTCCCATCCTCCCATGGAACAGTTGGTGGATTTGAACCCCGTACCTTCAAGATTACAGCACAGCTTATTGCCACTAGGCCACCAGTGATCCCTAGGTTAAAGTGTTAAGATGGCATTTATAAGATGTTATCTGTAGGCAAAGGAGCCCTGTCGCACAGTGGTAACATGCCAGCTAGTTACCAAAAAAATTACGTGGCAAAGGTTTTAACTCTTCAACCACTCCATGGAAGAAAGATGTGGCAATCTGCTTCCATGAAGACTTATAGCCCTGCAAAGTCTATGGAGGACTTAGCTCTACTCTGTCCTATAGAGTTACAATTAGAATCACACGATGACAACAGGTGTGGTATACAGGTTTCATCTGTAGGCACACTCAAAAGTTGGGGGGGTCAGGGGGACCAGAGATGCTTCTTAGAGAAAATGATACTTAAGTACAAACTGATAACTATATACGATGAGCATTTTTGGTATTTGAACTTAAATACAGACACAGACTAATGATTTCTTTAATAATAGCTTCCCAAAGTCTGGGAAGGGCTCTGTGTAATTTACTCTCATCCTCTCAAGTCCAACTTTCTGCCTAATCCTCTCTTTGACAATCAGTAAGTATCTACAGAGCACCTCTGGTGGACTAATGGGTAGCTGCACTACCAACCTTGAGGCAGGAGGTTCAAATCCACAACCTGCTCCATGGGAGAAAGATGGGCTCTCTCCTTCCTTGTGGTTTACAGCCTCTGAAAACCTGCTGCAGAGTCAGATATGAGGCAGTTCTGACTCCAAGCAATGATTCTGACTTGCCATTACATGCCAGATGTCCCTTGGTAGCATAAACAGTTAAGTGCTTCGCTATTAACTGAAAGGTTGATAGTTCACGTCCACACAGAAAAGCTTCAGAAGAAGGGCCTGGCAATCTACTTCCAAAATACCCGTCCTTGAAAACACTATGGGACATGACTCTCCTTCTGATACATCTGAGGCCACCATGAATTGGAATTTACTTGATAGCAACAAGCTAGTTGATAAAGGGTCTGGGCTGACTTCTGGCCACATAGGAGTGAAGGAATGGACTTTTCTGTTCTGTGTCATAGAGGAGCAGCCAGATGGTGTGACAGTTGTCACCAGGGTCCAAGTGGACTGGGCTGGAGAAGGTATTGGTGACTGTCTCTCTACCAGGCTGAGGTTTCTTTAAAATCTTATTGATAGTTGATGTGTTTCCTTCAATGAAGGGCCCCTTTCTTTGACGTGTTGCCACTGACTTTGTTGCTATCCCAACTGCTAATTCAATAAGACATCTTTGAGCTCCTTTAGAATCTGAGTCTTATCATCAGCACACAGGTGACAGGTTAAAGAAGGCACTAATGAAGAATGTGGATTCCTGCTCTGAAAAGAAGTGGCTTGAGTGGGTGGTTTAATAAGCCAGACTCTATTGTAGGTGGTTTTTATGTATTTCATTTTCATATTTTATTACTCTCTGGTGGTTATTGCTGTTATGTGCTGTTGAGTCACCTGCAACTCATCACGACCCAAATGTGCAACAACCCTGAACGTTGCTCTATCCTGTGCCAACCTTGTCTCTGACAAGTCTACCCTCATTACCACAGTCAGTGAGTCAATCCATCTCAGTGAGGGTCTTCCTCTCCTGCGCTGTCCCTCCACCCTCCCAAACATGATGTCCCTCTCCAAGGACTGGTCTCTCCTTGCAAAATGCCCAACGTATGTCAGGTGGAGCTTCAGAATCCTTGCTTCCAGGGAGCAGCCTGGTTTCCCTCTGGTAAGAGTTGCTTTAATTATCTTCATTTACAAAACCCCTAATAACTCAGAGAGCTTATCCGACCCTTAAGGAATGCACCAAGGATTTGAACCCTCTTCTCTGTGCATTCTCTGTAGGAACCACACTGCGTTGCCTAGTGAGGTTTATAATCCCACTGGAGTGACACAAAAGAACCTAATTGTTACTTTCATTCTTCCCTTCTTTAGATTCTTGGCGTCCCCGGAAATGCCCTCTGCTGAGCTGGTGCACTCTTAATTAAGAATAATTGCCTGTTCCCTGTTCTCTAAACAACTTGGAGATCCTGAAGGCCAAACCGGCAAAGCGTTGAGGGTGGTTGGCAGCACAGAGCCTCGGGTTAGCCCCGGTGGGAGGTGGTCCATGCCAGGCTGCAGGAGGCAGGGTGCTCAGACCTGGGGCCCCGCCTATGGGTGCCACGGAGGAGGAGAGGGCCGCTGGATGCTGCAGCAACTCAACTGAAGTGGGAAAAGATGCCTGCTGGTCCTACAAGAGGCGTCACAAGTGTTCAGAGCCATGCTTGCAATAGGGAGAGTCTGAAAGGTCACATGAGACCCTAACCAGTCTTAACCACCCACAGCCCTGGGGCTGGTGATGTGACCTGCCTCTCTGCAGTCAGAACTGAACACGTGCAGGGTAAAGGTGCCGGTTCCCACTCTGGGTCCAGCTCCACGTGACACCATGAACAGTAACTTCTGCCGGGCGCTGGTGGAGCGGAGGCCCATGGCACCTCCTAGCTGCATGCAGTTGGGTATCGTGCCCCCGCCCGGGCAGGCACCCCTGCCCCACTCCGAACCCCTGGGCAACGTGCCCTTCCTGTTGTACGGGGGCCACGTGGAGCCACCGTACTACGATGCCTACGCGGGGATGTTCCCCTACGTGCCCTTCCCGGGAGCCTTCGGTGTCTACGATTACCCCTTCGAGCCCGCCTTCATCCAGAAGCGCAACGAGCGCGAGCGGCAGCGCGTCAAGTGCGTCAACGAGGGCTACGCGCGCCTCCGCGGCCACCTCCCCGGCGCCCTGGCCGAGAAGCGGCTCAGCAAGGTGGAGACGCTGCGCGCCGCCATCCGCTACATCAAGTACCTGCAGGAGCTGCTGAGCGCGGCCCCGGACGGCGCCGGGGAACCTCCCGTGCCACCAGAAGGGCCCCGGCCCGACTGCTCCAGCGACAGCGAGGCCCGGGTGGCGCCCTCTCTAGTGCCCGAGTCCGAGTCCTCCTGCTTCTCCTCCTCGCCTTTCTTTGAGTCGGAGGAATCCAGCCACTGATTGGCCCTGTGGCTACTCTTGTCATGCTGCAGGCCACAGCTCACTCCCAGGTGAAGCTGGTAGGTCACCCGGAGAAGAACTCCTGCCACTTGGGGTCCGAAGCGCTGTCTTGTCACTGATGGCGTCATTCCGACCAGCTTGGGAAGGAGGTGCAGGGCAAGGGACACAAGACAAACTCACAAAGAGCTCAGTGAGTTTGGGTTCTGTGAAGGTGGGGTGGAGAGAAAGCTCGTGGTGTGCGCTGAACACCCCCCCCCAAGGCTGCAGGAGGGCACCCCCCCGGACTGGACCTCTCTAATCTAGCTCGGATTCCGCTTCAACTCAGCACGTGGGAAAGTTGCAGCGGAGTCTCTGATTGTGCTTCCCTCTGATTGTGCTTGTGGTAGGGAGTTCTGGTAGCCTAGTGGCAAGAAGCTGCTCTGCAATTCTAAAAGCAAGAGGTTCAGCTTCTCCGCGGGAGAAGGATGGGCAGACTTCTCCCGTTCGATTAACTGCCTCTGAAAATTCGCCGGAAGGTCAGCTACGGTTCTGACTCTACAGTTCATAACAACTGCTTGTGGTGGCCCTGCACCAGCCGTCCTCCACCACACCTGCATCTGCGAGTTCTTAGGAGGCTAACCGGGCTCGCCGTACCCCGGCTGTCCACGAGATGGCCTCAAATACTAGCACCCCCGCTTGAGAGAGTTCTTGCATATCTGGAAGGGACCTAAAGGTGGCTTGAGTTTAACTAAGCACAGACTTGAAAGAGCACATATGTGTGCCACGAGGTGGCGCTCTCTGGCTTCCTTGATGGAGGGCTTCTGCACATTTCTCGCTTTCCAGTGTGACTTTATTTTTAGCTTTTACTGGGGTGAATGAAGACTGTGTTTTTACCCTCGGACTATAAGCTCCCCTCACTGGGGACAGCTATCGTATGTATAGATGCATTGGCTCTGTGCTTCTCGCAAGGGACTGAATAAAAAGCTTGTTGAGATTTGTGATTTCTGTGTTCACTTTCACCCACTCAGGAGTCCCTATCCAGAGCATTTGCTGCAAAGAAGGATGGAAGTGTCAGTTGGTACTTCCAACTGCCAACATAACTGACTGTACACAGAGTTTAAGCACAAGCAGTTTGTAATTAACTGCCAACCTAAAGATTGATATTTCCAACCCACTCAGCAGAAACCTACTACAAACCCAACCCGCTGATCCTCCACTGGATTTCTAAGGCTGTAAATCTTAGCTGAACAAGACAACTTCATCTTTCTCCAGCAACGCATATGGTGGATTTGAACCACTGAGCCTTCAGTTGGCAGCCCAGCACATAATGCCCTGTACCACTGGAGGTCTCCCAAGGCAGAGTCGTGAAAGAGAGGCTTGGTGATTTGCTTCCATAAAGATTAAACTCTGTTTCTCTGAAGTCAAATTTCTATTCTAGGTGACTCCATGTGTTAAAGAACTCTTCCATATTGTTTTCTTGCTGTCATCTAAACCCTATAAAACAATTCGTTTGACACTTGGGGACACGGGGTTGCCATGAATTGGAATGGACTTGATGGAAACAGATTTTTTTTTTCCTAGTTGTTGTTAAGTTGGATAGGACAGAGGGACAACAGTCTCCGAGATAAAGCCCACACTCTCCAGAGTTAAGAGGAGAGAAAGACACAAAGACGGTAAAGTCGTCACAATTCAAGGTTGCTCAGGGAATCTTACACCCAGAGGGGAGGGTTTACATGTTTCCATGACTGAGGTACATGTGAGGGTGGAGTAAGGGTAGAAGGAGTCTTGCCTTAATCTCTGCAGGTACGAAGATGGGTGGTAGGTGCCGTGGAGTTGTGCTGAATGAGATTGCCCACCACCTTCTCCAGACGTGGTGGGACCAGGAAAGGGGAAGCAACTCAGGGATTTGAGGCTCCCTATCATAGGCAACCCCTCTTGAACCCGATTGTCCCAACTCTGAAACCTTCCATCCTGTCTCCTACTGCCCCATCCCAGGCCTTTGGGTGAGTTCTTTCTGCCTCACCCTGAGTTCCTCTTGGGGACAGTTTGGGAGGTCGCCGGCTAGGCTGGAAGGAATGACAGCTGCCTGGCCTCAGGAGCGCAGGCTGGGCGGCACGGAGCCTAGTAGAGGCTAATTTTACTCGCTGGGAGAAGGGAAGAGTAATCCACCCGCCCCCGCCCCCAGCTAGCTCAGCAGGGTAGGCTTGGCAGGACAGGCTCAGCTGCCCAGTCCCCAAGGCGGGGGCATTGGGGACGCAGGGGAGAACCAGTGGTGGGGTAGGGGAGAGGGAGAGAGAGGTTACCAGGGAAGCCATGGAGCCCTCCTCACCGCAAGACGAGGGCCTGAAGAAGAAACAGCCCAAGAAGCCAGTTCCTGATATTCTGCCAAGGCCACCCCGGGCCTTGTTCTGCCTGACCCTCGAGAACCCCCTGAGGAAGGCCTGTATCAGCATTGTGGAATGGAAGTATCCTTCAGGGTCCCCAGGGCTGCTGGGAGAGTGTGGGTGGCATGGGTGAGTGAGGCAGGGGTGTCATAGAGCACAAACTTAAGTACTAGAAAGCCTGGGAACTTGGGGGTGGGAGATAAGCCAGAGAATCTCATAAGCAGTCTGGAGAAGGAAGCCCCTAACTGAGTGAGGGAAGAAGGAAGAGGAAATGGTGTGTTTTCTGGGATGAGTGGGTGACCCAGATCTGGATGACACCCTGAGGTACTTCCTGACCAGCCAGGGAAGGAGACGGGGATGTTTCATGGGGCTGTTCTCACGTGTGCCCAAGTCTTTCTTATAATAGCATCCACGCTTAGGTGTTTGAAGAAACAGTTTCATTTAGAAATAGAAAGGGACAAACATAAGAGAGAAGGGGGCCCCTATGAGATAATTCCCCCCCTTGATAGGAAGGGAGGTAAAAGTGGAGAGAGGTTAAAGTTGACTGAAGGATTCTACTGAGGGACACGGGAGCCTTGGGCCTGGCTGGGAAAGGAGTGGGAGGAGGAATGGGGCTTGAAGGAGAGTTACTGTGTGTGAGTGACTCGGAGACACAGGGCAAGCAAGTCTGGTTATTTTAGCTCAGACTTACCACCCTGGGGACAGGGACTTCAAATCCCTTTCTAAGTTTGTGTTAGCTCTGAGAGGAAGAACAATGAAAATATTTGGGTTATTCAGGGCAGGGAGGAAGGAGCGTCACCGAGGAGGGAAGCCTGTGCCAAATGGGGTCTGAGAGATAGAGAGTTGGGAATATTTGAAATATTTTGATGGGTTCAAGAAGACTGGCCTCCTACCAGCTGTTCCCTGGAAGAAGGGAGAATAAGAGATAACTGGAGAATAAGAAAAACATGGGAGCGGCGTGAGCTAGCGTGGGGTCAGGAGGAGTGAGCCCTGCTCTCCACAGCGCCCCTCAGCCTGCTCCTCATCAGATCCTCCTGCTGTCTCTTCGTTTTGGGATGCCTTTGTGGCATGCATCACTGAAGAGAGCTGCCTCAGAGGAGCTGGTGACATAGCTTGAAAAGTGTGACACTGCTCATCAAAAGGCTACATCTCCAGGGGTTGGAATTTGCGAACTGCTAGGGACAGGAAGATGGGTCTCCTCCCATTAAAATGTTCCATCTCAGAAACCCAATGAGTCGGAATGGCAGAGCCCTGAGCTGCGATCCTTACAGAAGCAGACCATCAGGCTTTTTCTTCTCAGGAGTGCTCATTGAGTCTATTCTGACTCATAACAACATCCCCTTGGGTTTCTGAGGCTCTAAGTCTTCATGGGAGAAGACTGGACACACAGAACATTTTGCTTCATAGTGCAACATGCTATAGATATAGGCTGTCTCTGCTAACCTTTTGTTAGTGCCCCTCATGCTTGTTTACTTGCTGATCTCTCCTTTCATCCTAGTCTCTGCCCCCTGGGTCCTCTTAGAGGCCCAAGCTCCCACAGTCCTCCTTTCTTCTCAAGCACTGGAAGTGGCTAGGAAAGGATTAGAAATTTTCCACTCAGATTCATCTCCATAGTATATCTCCCCAACTTCCATCCAAACCACCTACAAGCAATTCATGCTCTGTCTCACTTTCTTCCTTGCCACTCTCTGGTTGACTCAGCAAATTCAGAAAGAAATGGGCGTGGGTGGTAGATGCCATCTTCTGAAAGATAGTGGGTGTGTCTGGGAGGAGTTGAAGTGTGGTGGGCGTGAGCGGGTGGATAAGCTCAGTGGATGAGCTGATGAGTGTGCAGCTCTGTCAACTGCAGATTTCCTCAGTCACTGGTGCCTTCCTTAGGCTTTGCAAAGTCAGGCTTCATCTCCCCATATTCTTTCCAATTCCACTCTGTGGGTATATAAACCTAACCTCCATAGGTCCCCTGGTTTCCCTGTCTTTTCCCTAGTTAAGTCTCTGAAAGACTGTCACCAAAATCTCAGCTAGCCATGTCTCTGGGGCAAAGACTAGAGAAAACAGGAAGGAGCTGTGTTAAGACCCTGGCCCCTCAGGCTGAGTAGCCCTCAGTCAGTTCCCATCCTTTGACTTTCAGAGTCTAAGAGGAAGCAATCTGTTCTGGGGGAGCGAGGGAAAGGCTCCCAGGTGAGAAGCTGGTCCTTTCTGTGCCTGCAGGGAAGTAGATAAGGAGTAGACGTGGATGGAGGGCTTGTCCATCACCTGACTGTATGGCCTTGCAGCCAACCTGGCCCCCAGTGCATCCCTCCCCAGAGTCCTCCAAGCTTTCAAGCCTGTCCTTAACTCAGGCACCAGACCCTTCGAGACAATCATCTTGCTCACCATCTTTGCCAACTGTGTGGCCCTGGCCGTGTACCTGCCCATGCCCGAAGATGACAACAACTCTCTGAACCTGGGCCTGGTAAGAGACTCCCTTTCTCCCTCCTTCCTGCTGGTCTGCAGCCCCAGCTGGGGGAAGCCAGTCTTTTGGTGGGTCCTGTTCTGGTGGACAATGCTGATGTTTTAGCCCCATGAGGATGAGTATCCTGCATAGCTGGTTCAGTGGTTTCTCAGAGAAGCCCAGTTAAATGCTCTGGACTCTATAAT